TCAGCAATGTCGGAGGATTCATCACGCGTTTCCTCACCGTCTTGTGAGCTTACGTAGTATGTCACAGGTGCTGGTTCTGTTGCCTCAGAGTCAGCAAAGCTAACCTGTTTTGGCTCCTTAAAAGCACCATCATAGCATACATATGTACACCTGTCAGCTCTTGTTGGTTGAATACCAAGCGAAATCAGAAATTTGTCAAGGCGGTTCCACCATCTACGTGGTGCGTCCGCAAGTCCATAGACGGAACGAGTGCACAAACCAACCAAGTAAGGAGGCAAACCAATGTCAGTAGGCAACTGAACATGGAGAACGCGGCGGTCTAAGTCGTATGTTTCCCCCTGAAGGAAGGCAGTTTTCAAGTCTAAATGGAGTAAATCCCAGTACATCGAGGCTGCATGCTGAGATGCCACACGACAACCATACCTGGTAGCAGTAGGACTGTCAGTCTGTAAGTCATACTTTTGAGCATCTTGAAAGCCTCTACATACCCATCTAGCCTTGAACTTCTTGAACTGTCCATCCTTATCAACCTTGATGGTCAGCACCCATCTGCCAGTGACATAGTTATCAATCTTATGACGTCTCTTGTCTCTGAAAGTCATGGCAGTGAAATCCAGAAAACTTCTGAATTCTTCAAGCTTGGCTTGTTTGATCTCCTTAGCATACTTCCTCAAGACTTCTTGAGTGATAACTGATTCTGCCTTTGGCTGCTTCTTTCCATTCTTAGCAAGATACTGTTCAAACTGTTTGAATCCAGTAACATCGTATGAACCAAACTCAGGTGCAGCTTGGACCTTTGGTCCTAAAGGAACGAAAACAGTACCATCAACATCGACAAAATGAGAGTGGTCTGATGTGTAAGGTTCAGTGTCCACATCTTCTTCCTGAAGCTGAGCAATGTCATCCTCAGTCAAAACAGGAGTGTCGTCTGTTTCATATGGTTCTGTTTCATCATCATCATGTTGTGATGATACCAATTCTGGTGTTCCTTGTGAAGACTGCTGTTGCGCTGGCTGCGCAAAGTCACCTGGCGTAAACGATGTTGGTGTAGTAGTAGGCAAAGGAATTGTATTATCATGTGAACTTGAGGCAGTAGGATCATGTGAAGGTCCTTCCTCTTCATCTTCATGAGGTTTCTGAGTAGGAACTGAAATTGGCTGAACATGACCTGGTAATTGAACCTTTGGCCTCTTGATAATCACCCTTGCCTTTGCCTTTGGTAAAGCATCAGTAGAATCAGTTGAGATCTGTCTCTGTTTCCTTTGAACTCTGATAGGCTCTGACGTCGGATCAGGTCCTGGTGGAGAATCGTCATCTTGTCCAGGATCAGCAATCTCTTCGATTGGAATGTCAGGATTGGAAAACGGAGTTGATGGTGAACTTGGTTGATGTGTTTCCCCCGAGTCCTGTATTTCTGGCATATCCAAATCATCATCAGGTGGTGGTCCATAATCATCTGGAATGATGTACTCTTGATCATCATCATTACCTGGATCAGGTCCAGTATTATAATCAGGTTGATTATCATCATCCAGAGGATCATCTGGTTCATCACCACTCAACATCTCATCATCATTTGGTGGAACATCACCATGCTGATCTGGATGAATGGGATCGTCACCATTTGGTGGTGTGCTACTTGAACTAGGAGGATCTTCAACTCTCCTTTTGATAGCACCAGTCGTTTCTCGTGAAAAGACGATCATACTCCATTCATGGATTTTGAACTGTTCATAATGTGGATACAACTGTGACACAAACATGAAGTAAACATGATCATAGTCACCAGGTTTCCAAATGAGTAAGACAGCATCTTCAGGATGTTGAAACAAAGGATTCACTCTTCCATAAGTTCCTCTGAACACACTGCAATCTTCAAAGTACATTTGAGGCAATGTTTTCCTTCTGACATCTTGAAGTCCAGGAATCAGTTCAATGATTCTGGGGTCAGTTGATTCTCTGACACTAGCCTCTGTACTCCTTGGCAACTGATCAATCTTCCTCAATGTTTGAACAAGTAACTGAGTGGTAAACCTCTGTGGAAGAATGTGCTTCAACGGCACTGGAATAGAGGTCTCAACATGATGCAAGTCTTGCAACAAACATGAGCACTCAGGTTCACGGTCCAAAAACATTGAAGTGCCACTCAATGCTCCATCATCAAATGTTCCAACAGATCTTCAAACAAGAAACATTGTCTCATGTTCTGCAAAGGTACAAGTTGTGTGAACTGCGCAATGAATGAACACAAGTGAGATGGTAAGACCTTCCATTGTGGATCATTCCAAAGCTTCCCTTCTCTATTGAAGGCATGCTGTGGTTCCAACATGTCAAAGTCTTCATCATGATTGTAATACACACGCAAGTTCTTGATTGAAGGATCACAACGACAGTAATTTGTCATGTCAAGGTTGAAACAACCAATGTGATACTTGATTCTGTCCTTCTGAAATTTCTTCCAAGCCAAAAACCTGAGCAAATCCTGAATCAGGTGGTGCAATCACCAAGAAACCTTTTCCTCGGTCAGCTTGCCATTTCATCACATCAAGGCAAAACTTGAATACCGAGTATTTCCAGGAATTTGGTGAAGGATTTGTGATTAACACATATTCAGGATCAAGATTCTCAAGTTGTTTCCAAACTTGGTTTTGTTTCTTTTTACTGTTGAAACTCCAACCATGCTTGTGGTCAATGGGTTCACCAACCTTCATGTTCAATCGTGCCATGTGCCAACTAAGACCAGTGTTGCTACTGAAAAGTTCCACAACATCACACTTGCCAGTTTGACTAAACCAGTGAGCTTGTTCACCTAAGTAGGCTTCAGCATATTCAGCGATATCTGGCTCATAGTCATCTTCATCTTCAACTGCAAGTGGAACAGGTTCTGATGTGTCAAGTCCAGGAACAGCAACATCATGCCATTCATCATGGTCACGTCTCACCTTCGATTGATTAACACGCATG